CGCGCAAGACCCATCAGCCTCCTGATACGAGGGGGTCTCTTCCTGAGCTTTCGCATGCGTTTCCTGATCAAAGAGAAATGTAGCCTGCGGCCTCCTCGGGTTTCCACGCCCAGAACTTCCAGAGCAGAAGTGGCCTGAAACCCATGATTGCGCATGATGTGAGCCACCTTTGTCGCGACCCCATTGATGGATGAAAGCAGCTTAGCCTTGTCTCTGGCGATTGGCAGGTCCAGGGCGCGAAGGACTGCCGCTAGGCGCTGTAGGATGCGAACCGAGTGGTGCGCCAGATCCTGCGGGGAGGACTCCACTTGCAAGGTGATGTCATCCGCATAGATGTCGAGAGTATGATGCACACTGCCATTTGCGAAGGACTGCTCGAAGATGTCGAACGGAAGCATCGTGACCAGCTGCAGCAGAAACATTGCGACTGAGCAACCTGGAAGTACGCCTCTCTGAACCTGCACCGCGTATGAGTAAGAAGCCCCCCCATCGAATCCGTCGTGGCGCATAGTGCATGGCCAAACAGAGGCGCAGCAGCGCTGTATGAAATTCCGTCTCCGCAGCGGCTCGTAGAACGCGATTCCAGCAGACTGTGTCAAAGCATTTGCTGATATCAATCAGAGCAGTGAGTGTGCCCGTGTCCGCCCCGCCCTCTCGGGCTTCATCGTGTAGCAGTGTGCGTGCACCCACCTCCAAAGTGGACTTGCCAGCGCCAAGGGCAAGGAAAGGTCTGCTGTGATCCGCTATCCACTGGCGAACGTGCACGATGCGAAGCTTTGTGTACACCCGATACAGTGATGGCAACAGGGCGATCGGGCGAAATCCCCTTTGGGGTGTAGCCAACAGCATACTGTGTACAGAGAGCATCGCCGAGGGCCATCGCCCCCATGATTCAGCTGCCCGAAAAAGGTATACCACCATCGCCAAAACAGAGTCTGTAAGCAATGACCACGCCCTCGGTGGAATACCATCGTGACCCAATCCTGAGCGCCAAGGGGAGGCGCGGGCTGCTCGCCGAACCTGATCGACAGTGGGTACTGGTAGTGCCTTGGCTGGCAGTCTGGCCAAGTCATTCAACATATCAGGATCAGCGTCATCCAGAAGAGCGGTAGGAATAACTTCACCGTATGTGTGAGGAGTGTCATTCGAAGAATGACCCGTGTGAGGTGAAGCAAAGTATGCGTCAGGACCAGCAGGGGTAGTGACTGGGCGTCCTTCCCAGATGCTATTCCACATGTCCATCTGACTGTCAGCAATCGCCTGGGGATGGGTAGACAGTTCGCCGTGCCGCTGAGCTTGACTGTGAACCCAAGTGTGGATGCGCGTGAGATGGAACAGTGGCGCTGGGCCCGAAGCGAAAGTCTCCTTGGCCCGCTTGTGGAAACCCGCGAGCCTCGTCCTAGCAGCGACGGCCCCCCTGAGAAACTGCAATACCAGAGAGCTGCTCCGCCAAAGCTTCCATCCACAGGGGGGCGGTAGTGGGATGTTGGGCGCTAGCCGCTCTAAGGATTGGCCATGTGTGATCCAACAGAAAATTAGCCTCCTCTGTGTGCACATCCTGTCGGTGTCCAGGCCGCAGAAGACGACCCAAGTGACGCCAGCGGTCCTGGTCCCTCTGCCCACGATCCAGTCGAATAGCGATGTCACGGACTGCCAGTGCCACGGCATGCAGGTACCTGGGCTCGCTGCCCGCAGCAGGATGTGGCCCGCGACGGGGGCCGCCGAGAGGACGCCCGACATACTTCGTGCCCTGCGCTCGCCCCGTGTAGGGCCCCTTATCCTCTATCTGATAATGTGCAGCAAATCCTGTTCGGTGTGAGAAACCAAAGCAGCATAGATCGCATCAATTCTCTGTTGAGCCTGGGTTGGGGTGGCAGGGGCCTTCTGATGGGCGTCGGCCTCGATAATATCCAGGTGATCACGGTCAGGAGGTGGTCCGTGAAGTGGGTGGGCCCCTGCGCTGGACGGCGCCGCTCGAGGGAAGGCTCGCGGTGATGCAGTGGTGAGCTGTCGAAGGCGCCTTGGGTGAGCTGCGGGATCGCATCGTGCTGGACGGTGTGGGCGAGCTGGCCAGGCTTCCAAGGCATGGGGGCGATGGCAAGCGGCCTGGGGATCTCGCGAGACAATCCAGTAGTCGATCATAGAGTAGTTGCCCGCTGCGGATCGGCACGTGCCCGCGCCTGAGCAGTGCAGAGGGGCACCAGTGAGAATGTCCGCCAGGCCTGAGGTAACCAAATCCTGAGGAGAGCAGTTCCAATCACCACCCAGAAGAAACGACAGTCCAAAGAATCGAAGGTGCTCGGCCAGTCGGCAGTACCGCTGCAGGTTGGCTACGACGTATTCACTGGCAGACTCCAGATAAACCGATCCCAGAAGAAAGCCGCCAGGGAGCCCCATATTCACATGAATGGCCACTGACCACGCTGGGAAGACCTCAAAAGTGCGTTCACCCCCTGGCCCACTAAGCAACGTAGTGGGCACATGTGACCGCACAAAGATG